TAAGTCTCGATGTAACGTTTTTTTGAAAACACTCCATATTTCCACACCACCTCTCTTTAGGGGGAGAATCAAAGTGAAGATCGACACCTAAGCCTGGATCTTCTTCCCCTAGAACTCGTCTCCATCGTACCTCCTAGTTCTTCTATGCCATTAACATGAGAACTTGAATTTAGGGGGAGATGCTGAAAAACAATTGAGACAATGAAATGCTTGTCTACTCAAGAAGACCAAAAGTAAGGCAGAATGAGAACTTCACACCTGAAGTACCAAGAGAGTCGGAACCAATGGTAGTTCCAGCATCTCATGACACCACAGAGGTATCAAGACTCTCCGATATTAATCTTCCGATTGCACTTAGAAAACAAACTTGGTCATGTACTCTTTATCCTATTTCAAAATTCATGTTTTATAACGCTCTATCAACAAAATTTTGCAACTTTACCTCTCATCTTGATAGCACCAAAATTCCTAAGAACATTTAGGAAGTCTTGGACATTCCGAAGTAGAGAGAGACAGTAATGGAAGAAATGCAAGCATTGGAAAAGAACAAAACTTGGGAGGTAGTGGAGCTACCTAAAGGGAAAAAAACAGTTGGATGCAAATGAGTCTTCAACTTAAAATATAAAGCTGATGGGACAATAGAAAGGTATAAGGCTCGATTGGTTGTGAAGGGATACACACAGACATATGGTATTGATTATACAGAGACATTTGCACCCGTGGCAAAATTGAATACTATCCAAGTACTTTTGTCATTGGCAACAAACTTAGATTGGCCTCTTCCAACAATTGGATATTAAGAATGTATTTCTCAATGGAAAATTGGAAGAAGAGGTGTACATGACACTACCTCCAAGTTTTTGCACGGTAGGCAAGGAGAATCAAACATGTAAACTGAAGAAGTCATTATATGGCCTCAAATAGTTACCGAGGGCATGGTTTGACAAGTTTGCTAAGGTACTAAAGAGGTACGGATACCGACAAGGACAGTCAGATCATACTAGGTTCCTCAAACAGTTTGATGACGGGACAAAAACAATCTTAATTGTTTATGTTGATGATATAATCTTGACAGGTGACATGACAGAAATGGACAGACTAAAGAAGAGTTTGGCAGTAGAATTTGAAGTAAAAGATCTAGGAAAGATGCGATACTTCTTGGGGATGGAAGTAGCAAGGTCACATAAAGGTATCAGTGTCTTACAAAGGAAATATATACTTGACCTCCTTACAGAAGTTGGAATGCTTGGATGTAAACTGAGTGATACTGATAAGGACATCATCTATTTTATTTCTTGTTGGACTTTATTTTTTATTTCGTGGACTTTTATGTTTTAGATTTTTATTTATGTAATTGGACTTGTATTGGTCCAAGTTCATTCTAGTTAGGTTTTAGTCTTTACTATTTAAATCTAATTGCGATGTAATTTCAGTAGTTAATGGTTGAATAACGATTTTTGGTGGCTTGTGGCGGAATTCTTCCTTTCCCCGTTCTTCTTCTTCAATCCCTTCCCCTGATTTCTTCTTCCTGATTCATTGATTTCTCTTTCTTCATTAATTTTTCTATTAGTGCTGCATCAAATTTAGTATCAGAGCCTAAACTTGGGTAATCTCTCGTCTCCAATCCAAAAATTTCTTCCCACTTCCCAAAAAATTGTCGGAACAGCACGAATAAAAAAATTTAGTATGAGTAGCAGATATCATTTTTTTGTTTCAATTTTCTTCATAGTTGCAAAAAAAAAAAAAAAAAAAAAATGTTACTGTTCATCATACTATTCACAGCCGAAAAATTCAGTTTTAGTATCTTAGTCAGTTCAAAAAAAAAAAAAAAAACATTAATGTTCATCGTACTGTTCACAGCTGAAATTTTTAGTTTAGTTCTTTTTCTGCAACTTCAGTCACCGACCAAAAAAAAAAAAAAACAAAAACAAAAACAAAAATTTCTCATTTGCTGCTATTTCTTCTATATCATTGTATTGTTGTTCCACAAATTCCTATCCTAACATTCAATCCTACTTACACACGGCCCCAATTCCGTTTAGCCCAATTAACCAAACCTATTCTCTACGACACAGGCCCACTCCCCAAACACTAAACCCAGCTGACCCATCTCTATAACACGATCTTAACCCCTTCCCATCTGTCCCAATCCCAAATATCCAACCAAGCCCGATTATAACTAACCTATTAACATCAAATAACCCCACAGTTTCACCCAATTCCTCTCTCACAACCACTCTCCTACCGCTGTCGCCTCTAATTACCACCACGCCACCACTTCATTATCTATTGTACCCAAGCATCCAACGCACTACTGCTTCACTGCCACAGGCTGCCACCACCAACCCAAGACCATACACTTCCACCACAGTTACCGCACTCATATATTTCCCCGTCCATCTCAACAATCTAAAAGCCACAGTCACCACACTCAGTTTTACGTTTATACCGTAACCAGCAAACTTACAGTCAACAGGAACTTAAAAAACGCTGGACACGAAGGAGGGACCAGAAGCATACTTGGGGCCCACGCGTTAGCAGTTCAGACCAATCGGAATACTCAGTCACAACCGAACTACAAGGAGTCACTAATCTTATCCATCTTTGGTTTACACTACTACATTTTAAAATTACATTTAAATTATTTGTGTTGCTGTTATCTTTATAATTTTAGCCTTAAACCTCACTTGATCGGAATTATTGAACAAATTGACTTTCCATTGTTTCCCACTTATCAACGTGATTGGAAACTTTGACTATTGTTTGACCATTGTTTTGCTATTTTACATGTACCAGCAGTATTACCTTGCTTTGTATTTATTTAATCCCAAAATTTAAAATTAAAAAAAAAATGGTCCAAGTTGTTAATTTTCATTGTTTACGCTTATTGTTCATCGAACTCTCTATTACACGTCATTTAGCTGCTAATATAGTGCATGCATAGTGGTCGATTGGTCGTCATGTCACTCCTCATTTCAGTACATAGACATGGACTCTTCACAATTTGAGGCACTCACTAGACAATTAGCTCAACTTGTCACTAGCTAGCAACACTTACAAACTCAATTAGCAGCTTTCCAAACCGAGATGGCTGCTATGCGTGAAAAGAACAGAGATCTAGTTGCTAATCTGAACAATTTTAAGCAAATCCCTCATTCAATTGATGTTTATAATTATAAAGTGTCCCACAATAGACAATATCGTCGTCGACACGGTGACCAAAAATATTTTCAATACGATCGTAAGGATAGGGATCGGGTGAGCGAGCGAGAACAAGGCCATGGTCGTCATGGTACTCATTCTCTTTCTCGTCATAAGGAGAGTTCCTTTAGAGACACTAAATTAGACACTCCTACTTTTGACGGTTGCTTAGATTTTGAAGTTCTTACTCAATGAAATGCCCTTAAACATGGGAGTAAGTTAGTGACTGAGTATATTGCTCAATTTGAGGAGTTTCGAATGAAGCATCATGTCATTGAGGATGAGGCCTTATCTTTGAGTAGGTTTATACAATATCTGAGAGATGAACTTAGGCGTGAGCTTTTCTTTCGAAGTGTCACTACTCTTGATCATGCTTACTCTTTAGCTCGGACTATGAGTTACTTATTAGCGCTCCATATGAAAAGCGTAGTCACCATCGTTCACTCGTCTCATCAGCACCACCTCATCATAAGTCTATTATAGG